AGCTCAGGGACAATCCAGGCCCTGAGTTCAAGCCCCAGGACTGGCACAAAACAAACAACAATAACAAAACTTTCAGCAATCAAACAAATGAAATTTTACGAGGCAATATTCCTATCACTTTCAAGTTATTCAATGATTAATACCTTCACTCAACTCAATGGTCAATGTACTCACTATACAGGAATGCCTAAGAAAACAGCAGGAATTCAAGCTTGAAGATCTAGACTATTTCTAGGCATCGTATATGCTTACTTGCTGCAAATGTTTCATTGTATACAGGGTAACTCTAGGCCTACTAGTCACTAAATGCCATTCTTTAAATGTGTTGATTACCTGAAGTGTAGTTCATTTAGTATACATTGGCTTTAAACAAAAGTAAATTTGGATAAAATGGCATAGTCTTTTATTTATTTATTTATTTAGGAGCTACATAAACACAGAAATTGAAGACCACGAAGTGGCTTCCTTTATGAAAACATGATTTCTGTGCTTCTATGTCCTGACCAATTTAAAAGTTATCATTGAGGAGAGCAAAGGAAGGAGTAATATTGTCCAAAAAGAAATGTATTCATTACCTGACATGAAACTGCAACCCCTCCATACATTACTTTTATAATAACAATAAAAATATTTCATAATTGGCCACTTGATTATCATCCCCAAATTCAGAGCAGTAAGTTTGGATGTGGAATAAATAATCATACTGATATCTATTTCCATCTGTGTACCAAAATGAGAAGTACTGACTACTGTCTTCCTGTGAAGGTAATGATTTCATGATTAGTATTCACTATATAAACTCGATGAGGAAAAGGATAATTTCCATTTTTAAGAAATCAGCTATACCCAAAGTGAAAATAATAGTCACCTAATTTAAACTGACTTTCAAAGTCAACTATTGTAATCACTGAAGCTCTGTCATTTCCTTAAGTTCATGGGCAATGCTTCCAATAAAAGCAATGACCTATAATGTTGAAGTCACATGCCAGTGGCTCATGGTCTATCCACTCAGAAGGCTAAGATCTGGTTTGATAAGGACTATAGCAGGGCAAAAAGCCATGAAGAAAGTAAAATAGATGACATGTTAAATAGTAGTATCAGAAAGAAAAATAAAGCAGGAAAGGGAGCTAGGAAGTGTGGACAGTAGAGGGTAGAATATGCCCCAATGAGGGGACAGTTGAGTGAATGTGTGGGAGGAGTGACCAAGTGAGCCATGCTGAGATATAGAACATTCCAGACAGAGGGAAAGTAGGAGTGTGTTGCCATAGTCAAAGCATAGCAGTCAGTGTGACTACAGAAGAGGGACAGGATGAGGGGAGGTGCAAATGAAATCGGGGAGTAGAGACCCAGATAGGGTTCTATGTGTACTAGTTAGTCTTGTCTTCTACTGTGAGCACAGCAGCTGCGATGTGGAGAATTAACGGAGACAGAAAACTATTAAAAGTAGGGAGTCCAATGAAACTCCAGTGTCAACCATCCAAGTGAAAAAGGGCCAGCTTAGAGTAGTAAAAGGACGGGGTGATGCATGGCTATGATGTGGTCTGACAGATGTACTTGAGTACTATGTGTGGAGGTGCCACATCTCACCGGCCACCAATTACAAGTGTTCTTTGTTCCCTCTCCCTCAGGAATTTATCTATGCATAAGCAACCTGATCCTAGCATCCCACTTCCCTAGGGCTATTCTTGGTACAAATTGTTTTATTATTCAAGGTTGCTGCAAGAAACAGATGGCATATCCAAAAGGAATATCTGAAGGAGAGTGTAGACAAGTAAAAGAAACCAACAAGACATGAAGCAACACTGGCTAAGTAGAAACAAGATGCTTCTATTCCTAAAACGAAAGGGCAAGGAAAACGTGTAGGAGAGAGCTATATCGGAAACTGTGATGCTGAGGAAAGTAGCTATTTCCAAACTACTGCATGGCAGGGAGAAAGGCAAGAATAATCATCTTGCCTTCTTTCCCTTTTCACTCAGTCTTACCCTAATGGCCCCTTTCATTTGCAGAACCCAAGGGATAGGAAGTCTGATTTATCATAGAACATAGAAGGAAATTGGCTTCCTAGAGTATTGAGCAAAGTGAAAGTTCTACTAGTCTTGAGAAGGGGAAAAGGCCTAGCTCAGCAGGCTTCTCACATAAGGGTTTCAAAGGGTACGGAAAATCATAGAAAAAAGAAAGGGGAGGTATTATCAGGATCATCAAACATATGGGGTCCTTTTCACCAAATGCTGACCACTCCCAGACCAGCAGGGATGAGCTGACAGATGGGGTACTCTCCTGAAGGTGAATGGGGTAAAAGGGGGTGGGGGGGTGAGGAATTGCACAAACTTTGTGCTCTTCCCTAAGTATGGAATGTTACTTTTCTCCTAATTTTGGTTCCAGTTCGATTTCTCCACTAAATAATGACCCTAAAGGCAAAAAACAAAAAACAAACAAACAAAATTACAGTGACTATATTAAAGATTCTTCCAAAACTCTTACTTAAAAGTGGGCACATTTATATTCTATGTTATATGTTTATTGGCTGATTAGTAACGTTCTTTATAAAAACTTGGTAAAGTACATTCTCTAGGTGCCCAATTGCTACTTTAAAAGTTAACCACTGTGAACACTCCTCTAAGTGAGAAGTGAGCTCAATTATTCTGCCAGTTTTACTTCTTAACTAGGACCCAGTGATTCCATCCCAATGATTCAGTCCTAAGAAAAAAGAGGATTATAAGCATGCGCGCGCACACACACACACACACACACACACACACACACACACTGTATGCACTAAGAGTATATACTCATATACACAATAAAATTACAAGTATGATAAAGGTTATCTCTGGAGAAGGATGATCAAATGGAAGCAGTCTTTAGCTGCATCTGCTTCAATCCTGAGATACAAAAACAAAAAAACAACACACCATGAATATCAACGAAGTCTTGAGAGTAATCAGTAATACAGACAATGAATTACAGTAATTCTGCTAGAGGATAAAAGGAGAATATGGCTGGAAGCTGGTGGCTCACAACTATAATCCTAGCTACTCAGGAGGCTGAGATCTGAGGATCATGGTTCAAAGCCAGCTTGGACAAGAAAGTTGTGAGACTTAGCTCCAATTAACCATCAAAAAACCAGAAGTGATGCTGTGGCTCAAAGGGGTAGAGCATTAGCCTTGAGCAAAAGAGCTGAGAGACTTGGCCCAGGCCCTAAGTAAAAGCCCCACAACCAGAAAAAAACAACAAAACAAAAAAAAGGAGTGTGTGCAATGTTAGAAAGAAGCTTTATATTGGTAATCAAATGGAAAATATGAGTGAAAGCAATAAATGCAAGTTACTTAAGATAATTAAAAGTAACAACAAATCAGTTTGGAGTTGGAAGTGGCCAGGTCTAGTGATTGGTCATCACCTCTAATACCAGCTCAGGAGATGAGGCAGGAGAATACAGAGTCGGAGGCTGATCTGAGTTACACAGTGAGTTCTAGGATAGTGAGATACATAGTGAGAACCTGTCTCAAAAAAAAAAAATCCTCTGTGGTGAAAAAAGGTGAAACTGCTTGTCCTAGGGACAGTTAAATAGAGGAGGCAGTCATAGTAGTACTATTGTTCTTCAGTAAAAGTAGAATATGGATCTATTTGTTTTGAAATGATGTGCATGTATAACTTGATTTAAAAACAGAAAAATGTAAAACCAAAAGCTAGCATACCGTCATGATCATAAAAATTCCGGAACTGTTCATCATTTTATTATTACAATGACAAGACAGGTGTTTTTGTATCACTATTACACTCAAGTAAATCTTCCTTGGTCATCTATAATGTTATTTATTATGCATGGCATAACTGACCATGCTTGATAAAATTAAGAACAAAAAACCATACTGTAACTTTTTTACTAAGTATCTAATTTTATACAGTTAACACACAATTTTTAATGTTAGTAACAGAAACAATGACATTATTTTAGTCCTTGGTATTTAACAATTAGGCTAAGTTCCCAAGACATGCACTACAGCTACATAAGAGATTCTGTCATCAATATGATGGTCTTGACATCTTATTATGTTTGCACTTTAAGTTCTACCCACTAAAGCGATGAACAAGAAACTCAGAAAAAAATGAATACAAAGAGCTGATAACAACACTGACATATCAAACTCATTTGTGATGAAAGAAATATAAATCTTAAAAATGACCAACTTTTCATTTATAAAGGCACAGAAAAAAAAATCTATATAGTTGCCCAGGGAGTACAGAGTAGTATTCACATGTTCACTTAACAACTTGAAGTATAACTTGGACAGCCTTTGTGAAGAGCAAGCTAATACTTAGCAAATGCTCTAAAAATGGTTTAAGCCTTTTTAACCAGTCATTCCACTTCTAAAAGCTTCCTTGAGAGCATAATTAAGCATGTACTTCAATACGAACAAAGGTTTTCACTGCACCACTGCTTAGAGTAATAAAATGTAGACAATAAAAGTGTTCAACCCAGAAGAAAACAAGTATACTATGGCACAATTTTCTTATGGCAGGAAGGAAGCTTCACCTCAATACCATTCTCCCACACCTGCCTTAACATCTTCCTTTCTAAGAGTCTACTAATGGTGATGAAAATGGTCAGATGTTGCAACCAGACATGAGTGGATGGGACTAGGGGGAAATCTGGGGGCTTTGGAGGAATGTCTTCCTCCCTGGTAAAATCAACATTATAGAAGTGGTCTTGTAGATGTAATTTGACGAAGGTAAAAAACTGAGTTATAGCAGCAGTTATTAGGACATAGGAAGAGGATGAGCTTAAGGCAAACTCAATAAATTGAGGCCAAGATGTCCTTAATAACACCTCAGAACTTGGTGTTAGGCAAAATAAAAATCTCTCCTTAAGAGCATCCTAACTTGTATTAGTCATACAAGAGTACTTTAGAACCAACACGTTTATGTAATAGAGATGTTATGAGCAGGGGGTGCAGTTTTTTTTTTTTTTAAATCCCAAAGAAATATGTTCCCTTAAAAAAAAAAAAGACCCTGTTAATATGCATTCTTTTGATCAAGAAAACAGTCTGGGAAGATACCAAAGTTTTAAGAGTAGGTATCTGAAGTAGAGGATTGAAATGCTTCCTTGATCATATTTGCATTTTTATTTTTTTCTACAATGCACATGTATCATCACTAAAAGAGTCTGCCACCCTTCATTTCCCTCAACACAATGCAATTTGGACTGGAATAGGTAAACATAAATTTTACTGGGCTGTGCAGAACTGGAGTTCTCTTTTGTAGTACTAAGAGTTTTGGGGTATTTTTAAAAACTTGTTTGTGAAGTCTGATAGTATCAAGTATTTATTTTTTTTAGTGAATTTGGGAGATTACAAACAATTTTCACTTCCCTTTTCTACGTAGGGAATCATATCATGACTTAGAGCCATTTCGTATTAGAATTTCTTCTGTGAAGCAAAAACAGTCCCAAAATGAAGGGTCTTCAGGTGTCATGGGAACAGCAGATGATATTAAATCATTGAAGGTAAGAATAGTGAACTGCCTCTGGGATGGCTTAGAATCATCCTGAGAAGGGACCTAAAAAAAAAAAAAATCTGTTTCATTACATATTAACCTTAAGATTGGTTTCATAAGAGCAAACTACACTTAAGTAGTATTAAATTACAATATAGAAAATTACAACATATTAAATTATAACCCATTATTGTTGCCTTCTATGTTACTATTGCCAATATAGCAAATAAAACTAATGAAACAGGAAGCATAGTTCTCCAACTTTTTGTACATAAAAGTTAATTAAAATGCAAATGACTTACAGCTCACATCCAAAAAGTACAAACCAGTAACCTTAAGGTAAAGGGATCCCCAAATCTGTAATTTTAGCAAGAAGTGGTCCACCAGCAACCTTCTGAGAAATATTATTTGTCTAATAACATATCTTTAGGAAATTTCTTAACATGAAATTTAAACTAATTTCTATTCTGAAATAGATCCTTTGTTCAAGAACCTAACCCTAACCTAACCTAACCTTTAATGTTCTAATATAAGTCAAGCACCCCAATGAGAAAATCTGAAATCTAAAATGGTCCATAAATCCAAGCTTTAAGTCCAACATAACTCCACAAATGAAAAAGTCTATACCTGACCTCCTATGACAGGTCACAGTCAAAACATAGGCAGACCAAATACACTATATAAAATTACCTTCAGATTCTGTGAAGAAAGTGTATAAATGAACTGACAGTAACATATGGTATGATATGATACAGTCTCCCACATGTTTGACCATGTTTAAAGAGGAAAGGAAGTTCAATTTTCAAGGTAATGCTATTACTCACCCTTTATATTCAATACAGCCCCAATTTCACCAAAAATAAACTCCTGTTAAACATGACTAAAATAGTGAACATAGGGAATTTTGATAGGAAGTATGAAGTAATACCAATTTTTTTTGCAGCACTTTATTTATATAAAAAGCACATAACATGTTCTTTGGAACAAAAACAAGCAACAAAAAAAAAATCCACCACAATCTCTAACCAAAAAAAGCCAAAGAAACTTTACCTCCTGATATCTAGATCCATCAGGTTTCCTAAGAGCTACGGCAACAAAGTGGTGATCATCTATTTTGCTTTCCTAAAATATGAAAGGCAAGTAAATACAGGTTATTAAATATATAAATCTAGATAGTTTAACTTTTTTGAAGTCTCCTTAGTCCCTCCTTCTCCTTCTCTAAGTCAAATAATAGACAACCAAGATAAAACTTTGTACTCAGTTGTTAATAGTAATTTGCCTTTGTGTATTATAGCATCAGTAATCTGAAGGAATGCTCATTTTTAATTTGATGGTTCTTAATGATCACTGGCTCACATATGTAATCCTAGCTACTCAGAGTCTGAGATCTAGAGAATCTCTGTTCAAGGCCAGCCTGGGCAAATAAATTCACTAAACCTCATCTCTAATTAGGATAGTAGGAGTTAGCAGGTTGTGGTTTGGCTACCCTGTGGAGTATATATAGAAAAAGGATGGCCAAAAAAGGCAGATGAAACAAAACTGTTGTACTCGGTTTATATGACATGGAACAAAACTCCTTAAATGACAGAATCGCTTCCTGTCTTAACAGGTTTGGGGGGCGGGGGATCCTGGAATCTGAACTCAGGGCCTGGATGTTGTCCTTGAGCTTTTTTGCTCAAGCGTAGCACTCTACCACTTGAGCCACATCTCTACTTCCATAGTAACTGTTTTTGGCAAATCTCTTTGGCAAAATACTTTTATTCCCCTAGTTCCTGATACTGTTCTCTCATTTTACATCTTATCATTTTAGTTAACTCTCTTTCTTATCTTCTTCCATAAATACGAGTATTCTCAGGCTCTGACCCAGGCCTTTCTCTCTTCTAAATGGCTTCAAGCTGAGCTTCTCTTCTTACATTCAATTTACTTACGTAATCTCATAGCTTCAACAACAAACCCTGTGGTTTCAATTACCCTCACCAGGTTAATGGTTATACAGCATCTTATTAACTCAGCTGTCCTTTTCACTGGACTACTTGATATCTTCATTTGGGTGCTTCAGTGCTATCTCAAACTTAACCCCTACTTGTTCTCCAGTGTCCTACATCTCAATGAACAATCCTATAAGCCAGAGTCCAGCTCCTAACATCTTTGACACCTCATTTCCTTAATCTCCAAATACCATTCCAAGTGAGTTGGCTCTTTTAAAATACAAACTGGACTTTATCATTCTTTTCATTCTCTTGAGGAAATTAGCATGTCTCCTACCACGTCTACTCACTACCATCTTCGGGAGACCTGACCTCCTTTCTCAGCATATTATTCAAGTGATTATAGCAGAAGACCACATAACAATATAGCCCATTTGTTGGGCCCTTGACACTTAAGCACAGGACCTATCACAACAGACCCCTTCCTTGGCCACACTGACTGGTCTAGAAGCTAAGTCAGGGAATCCTTTCTCCAGGGTTTTGGGGCTTGGAAGAGAAAGGGAATTCATTAGTTGAGTTTTCTAACTGTAAGCTTCATGAGCGGCAGCAGCCATGTTTCCTGATCAGATCAGAGAAACTGAGAAGGCTGCTGTGTAGAATGAAACTCAAAGATGAGGGAAAACAATCCAAGACATAAGAAGGCAAAAGTAAGTGATAAAATAAGCAGAATACTTCAGCCCTACTTGTAGCTCATTCTGAGGTTCAGTAACTAAATCATGATTAGCAGCCTAGAAACATGTCTTCTTGGCTTCTTAGCATCCAAGAATTACTAATGGCAGAAAGAGGCCAAAAATCTTTTAATGCTGCTAATGATTCCCCATGTGTGATCTAGCATCCTAAGTCTGAATCTCTCAAAAATCCCCTCATGACAGAGCCAATACCAACTACCTTCGGCTGCTCCCACACAAAGCCCTACTACAGGGCCTCCATTTCTTTCCTAGTCTACTTAACTCATTGTGACACATCATTCGAGCGTTCTCTATATGGTATTCCTGACTTCATCATCAAAGCATCAAGCATGTGATTCAGGTCCCATTAAATTTTAATCCCTCTGTTCATCACTTTTACAATAACAATAAATTCAATAACTAGCCACCCCATATTAATCTTATACAGGAAAGAATATAGGATTGTCTTACCTCAAAGGACCATTCTTTTTCTTCCTCCCCATCCAGGAATAAACGTGTTTCTTTATAAACTTGGCCTATATCCAGGTTTAATGGAGCTATATCAAATTCAAGGCGCTGTAATTCAAATCCAAGTCCAACACCAATGGCTTTTATGAAGCTCTCCTTCAGTGCCTAAGATACAGACATTTTGTTCTTTGAATTAAATAGGTAAAGTTGTTCATAAAAATCTCTAGTCTCAACAGATCTGGATCTCTAGCTATATACCATGTTATGGCTGTAGGCTACTTTTTTCTGTCCAAATTGTAGCATAGAAACAAACTATGCATGTGACATTATGGAAAAATCACTCTAAGCGTTCTGTGTCTATGTTCTCATGTGTAAAATGTAATGACAAACAGCATTTTCCTCCCCACAGGACTGATAAGAAACTAAGTTAAAGAACAAGTTCCTTCTAATTGAGCTCAAAATATATATTAGATTTGCTCCAAATAAATGTTACTATAATGTAATACTGTGTGTATAAAAAACATTAAAAGTCTCAGGTAATCACTCATTTACCTGGAGCACTGCATAATACTATGAGGTAACCAAAGGATTTTTACTCCTACTTTTAGAGAAAAGTAATGGAGCCACTATAGATCTTTGTATTTAAAATTAGAAAAAATTATACCCAGTTCCTGTAAAACATATCCAGTTGAGTCCATTCATCGTTAAAACTTCTGATTGTTTCCCATTCTTTGTTGGTAAACTTTCTTTTCATAATATGAAAGAATTCTGGAATTGAACCACGCCCTGTCAAGTAGAAAATATAGAATTAAAAACAGCTGTTTTATTAAAAACAAGAACAAAAAGACAACAAGAACAAGAACAAAATATCAGAAAATCCAGGTAAGGCTGAATGAAGGCAATAGTCTACCATAAAATGCAGGTTAGCCTAGAAACAGAAGAGTACTTTAAGAGGAATCAGTAGAATTATAAGCTATTATTAGACAGAAATGCATATATAATTGTGCCAAATGACTTTTTTTTTAATGCTGTGATAAATTTAGCAGCCAAACCCATTGTCTTAGGCTTCTTTCCCATGGTAAATTTTAAATACCTAAATCAAAGTTCCTTTTTTAATGGATTCATTTTATTTATTTTCCTTGTGATTCTAGGGATCAAATCCAGGGCCTTTCATGTGTTAGGAAAGTGTTCTACCTTAGCCTACATCTACCTTAGCCTACATTTCTTATATTTAATAGAAATAATTCTCAGAAATCCACAAGAAACACTCCTAAAAATGGAGCTGTTAGGAAGTAATTCTTTTGTTGCAAGTATCTTCCAATAGTTTCTTCAAAGAGAAACAAATTTAATTTTGTTGTATAGTTGTTTCTGTGAAGTTATTTTCTTTTTAAATTTGAAATCTATCTTTAAACTTCAATATCCCAAAGACAACAATATATTATGTAGTATTGGAAAAATAAGTGGCAAATAAGAGATACAACTCAAAAAGATTAGATTTTCAGAACTAAACTAAAACACAGAACAAAACATTTGGTAGGCTTTCTCTATTTTTCCAAAACATTAGGATTATATGTTCATCTTTACCTCTAGACAGTTACTTTATATCATTCTTTTATTCCACAAATATGCAGAGTATGTACAAATATGACACAATTATGCAATGCATTAACATTAATAGTTTAAAACATATCATAGTTCTTGACATTGTACATTAGGCATATAATAGAACCTGATCCAAGGTTTGGAAACAGAAATATTTGTCAGATGAAGAGATGAATGTTTATTTTTATTTATTAAGTTACTTCCTAAATGTTCTATACCTTTTATCTTTAGTTTGTTACTGCACTATTTCCCAGAAAATCATTTGGAGGTGAGTCCCAGTACAGGCTCTGTTAATGTAGCTGATTTACCCCAACGTCCATTTCTATACAATGGAATTCTATACTTCCCTCAGAAAGAATGACATAGCCCCATTTGTTAGGAAATGGTAAGACTTGGAAAAAATCATATTAAGTGAAGTAAGTCAGACCCAAAGAAATATAGGTCCCATGTTTGCAATAATTAGTATATGTCTAAGATAATTTTATCAGATGAGCAGAAAAGCTATGTACATATGACCATATAAGATAATGCTAAGCGAAATGTACCTTAAGATATGAACACAAGAGATCTTTCTTTGTTGTTGTTGTTTTTAATGTACTATGTGATTTTTTTTTTGTTTCCTTTGTATGTTCTTCCCCCTATGGTATATCCCCTGTTGTCATTGTACTTGATTTTGGTACCCTGAATCTTGTATATACATTTGTCTAATTTGGGGGGAGGGGAAGGGGAATAACAAAGCAATGAAACAAGGATATAAGATGCCCCATTGCAACAATGATAGCTATAAGACACTATATTGGAAATGAACTTTACAACTTGGGGGGGGGGGGGACGGGGAGGGGGTAGAGAAGTGAGGGAGGTGGGAGAGGGAAGGGATAGTGGGAGAACAACAAAGGAGGGGGTAACAATGCTCAACAAGAAATGTACTCACTCATGTACTGTAACTCCTCTATACAGCATCTTTACAATAAAGTTTTAAAAAAAATACTCAACTCCAAACATGGCACTACCAACTAGTTGGCTACAATTTTTAAAGAGACAGCTGCCACCTCACTTCTTTTCTGAACTTTAAAAGGTTGTAAAGGGGGGGGCGGTTACAATTTAATATGTCCACCTAAGTGTCCAGTGTTCCTCAGTAAGAGTCACCTCTTCTCTCATTCTCCCCCAACCCGTCTGTTCACTCCCATCCCCACTCATGGCACATCTCCCACTCTTTATCACATAGGTACACTGAATATTCTTGCTCTACTTGTCCTCTATTCCCATATTTATTCATTCGTTCAACCTCTCATACTAGCCCCCCCTTAATACCTCATTCTTTATAGGCATTTCTTGTAGAAAGAATTAAGTCTGGGGGGAAAAAAGATGTTAAATGCTGTAACTGAATTACTGGAATGTAATCACTAACTACCCCGTGGAATTCAGCAATTAGAATTCTAAAAACATTGAAGTGCTAGATGTAGGAATATGATGAACAAAACATACCCTGCCTTTACAGAGCATAATTTCTCCAATAGTAACCAAGTATCTCTCTAGTACTTAGGTCATTACTCCAAATTCAGATGTCTTGTAGTCTTCAAAAACATTTCTGATGTTCCTATGTGATACTTTAGGTCACAATAAAAGTTCCTGTTCATTTTTTAAGCACTGAAATATTAAACTTCGATGTTAACAGTCCTATCAAGCAAGTCTTACCCTTTTGGGTCAATGGATGGATCTTTTTGATGGTCTAATGCTTATTTTTCATTTCCTTACTGAGAATAAGTAGAAGCCACTCAATGAAAACTGCTTTATTCCTGTATACCTAGCACGAGCAGGCTAAAGAACACCTAAAAAAAGAAAATAAGCTTCCAAAAATTACTATATCTGACTTTAAGCGCATGAGCAATAAACTGTTTCCTCTTGAATGGACTGTAATAAATATTATATATGATAATAGAAGGTCCAGCTTAATTTGGATTTGAAAGACAATATTATTTAAGTGGAACTGTAGTCTTAACAGAAAATCCCCAACTCCTAAAATTAAAAAGATGTGCCTGTCATGACTTTACAATATCCTTTTGTTGATTTCTTCAAGTTTTCATTTTATAACCTCTAAGAAACCTTTTCAGTTTTAACTAAATATAAGGCAATCAAGAGAAAAATTAAATATGTATGCGTATTTAAAAAACTGATTACACAATCACAACCAAGCAATCATACAACTCATTAACTATGTCTAAAAGTTCCCAATATGAACGCATGTTCACATACTTTTGAGACATCTAATCCACAAAATAAGAAATATGACAGCATGAGGAACGGGTAATTTTGTAACTATTAAGCCAAAGCACAACAGCACCACACTGTGGCATTATGAGAGAAAACCACAGCTTGCAAATATTCTATCGAGCATATAGTTTAAAAATCATTAGAAATCATAAGGAATAAATCTACACTCAAGGCTTTTAGTTGGTGCAAATGCTTCCATTTTCCATTATCTTTTATGATATTAAATGAGGAATAAACCGGGAAAATCAGGAAAAGTCAGTAAAGAAACTAAAGACATAAAAATAAAAGCATCAAGTGTTCTACCTACTCTGGATACTAGGATACATGATTTTTCTTGTAAACCCATTATGGAAGGCCTGCTGTCTTTCAGAATTTATAAGGAGAATAATAACTTTGACATACCTTCAAGGTAACTTTAAGGTAATAATAAATTAAAGGTTATGGAAATAATAATAAAGGAAAATCTCTTAGGAATAGTAGAAAAATAAACTAGTCCTTTAAACTATGTATAGTTATTGGGCTTATAAATTAGCAATCCTCCTAATAATACTATACACATTCATGTTTGTCAGTTTTCTATTTAGTCATCAGATTGAACATTTAAGAACTTAGTAAATATATTTATATGTAAGATAAATGGAAAACGAGTTAGTTTAGAAGAGACTGATCCTTCATCTTATAGCTTTATCTTTAAGGAAGGTAATGCTGGATATTAAATATATGTTTTGCAATGATAAAAAATAATAAGACCAGAGAGCTACTGATTTTTCCTTCCAACTTTTTTCTCCCTTTGAAATGGAATGTCCATCCTACACCTAGGCATAAGCCATGGGAACCTGGTCTTCCAGCACCATTCTCAGTGATATTACTTACTTGACATCTCTAGAGGAAAGGAGTTAGGTAGTATAAAAAATGAAGTGCTCAATAAATGTTAGCTTTAAGGTTGTTGAGGTAGTTATTATGAAACATATATCCCCTTTCACCAACTGTTTCATCAAATTTTGAAATGTTTTCCCCCAGTACATTGTGTGGTTAATTTTATGGTTTCTTCTTACTCTTCTTTGCTTAAAAAGATATCCTTCCTTCAGATACACAATTCTCCTATGTTCTAGTAACTATTACTTTTGTATAAAGTTCCCATGACCTACTTGACAAGGGACATGCACCTGGGAGAAAAACTTTCTTTTCTAGAGCTATCATTATAATTTCCTGCCCTGCCCTGCTACCAACAATGGGAGATGAGGGAAAGAAACGGCTTAACTTAGTGAACATGGCTAAGGTAACAAGGAAAAAGACTTTCTAATTTCTTACCTGAGACTTTCACTCAAGATGATGGATTATCAAATCCATCACTTGTTTCTTTCAATATACTATTGATGCCTTCCCCCAAACAGACTGTTGTAAACACACTTAGAATTATTCCTTGCTCAATTTCCTCACCTATACTAATAAGCACAATCAAGTCAAATGATCCAAAGAAGCAGATCACCCTACAAGTAATGCTAAATCAATTACATGGTAATAATTCTAGAGACAACCAGAAAATACCTCCTCTTACCAAGCCTACCTCAGAAAGATAAATGGTGCACATTCTCTTACAAGTGGAAGCTAGAGCTAAAATACACCTATACATCAGAACTTGTACATGGAGTTTTTTATTTCCACCCAAACTAACTAAAGGAGGGTACATGAAGGGGAGGATTCCAAAGGTATAATTCCTCTGAACATCTAAAGGATGTAACTTGTGAGGAGGGAGGGGAGGGTAAAAGTGAAATAAAGAATGAAAATGCCCCAGAAGCATTGTACTCAAACCTGATTTATGAAATCGCAACTCAAAAGTAACTATTTAAAAAAATCTCCTTTATTTGTCAGTGGACACAGTGACAGCTTTCTGGTGATAGAACAATCAAAAGAAGGGAAAGGGCACACTTATATATTGTGATTAAATAATTGTGATTAATCAAAGAAGATCAATCAGAAAAGCTGGGAGGAACAAAAAGTTGAATAAAACATTAGAAGAAAATGGAATCTTCCTTTTTTGCTCTACTATCTTCTCTATTAAATGCCTCAATTAGGCCAAGAACTGATGGCTCAAGCCTGAATCCTAGCTACTCAGGAGGCTGAGATGAGGATTGAGGTTTGAAGCCAGCCTAGGTAGGAAAGTCTGTGACCCATGTTTCCAGTTAACTATTAGAAAACCACTTGGAAAAAATTGTATTAAATGAAGCAAGCCAGAAACATAGGCCCTATGGTTTCCCTTATCTGAAATAACTAGTATATGTCTAGGACAACCAGAAGAGGTCAAAAGCTATGTACATATGACCATATAACCTGATGCTAAATGAAATGAACCCCTAGATAGGGACACAAGAGGTTTTATCTTTGTTGCTGTTCTTTTTAATGTAATTATAATGTACTATGTGATTTTTGTTTTGCTTGTTTCTTTGTATATCCTTGTATTTGATTCCAGTGTCCTGCATCTTGTATATACATTTTTCTAATTTTGGGAGAGGAAGGAAAATAACAAAAAGCTGAAATTAGGATTCAGGATGACCCACTGTAATAATGAGATGTACAAGACAGTATATTGAAAACGAACTTTACAACTTTGTGGGGGGGGGCGGGGTCGTTGGGGAAGTGGGGAGGGAAGGGATGGTAGGGAAAAAACAAAGGAAGGTGTAACAATGCTCAACAGGAAATGGACTCATTACTTTGCTCATGTAACTGTAACCCCTCTGTACAGTGTCTTTACAATAAAAAATATATATTAAGAAAAAAAAAAGAAAACCAGAAGTGAAGCAGTGGTTCAAAGTACTACCCTTGAGCAAAAGAGCTCAGGGATAGCACCTAGGCCCTGAGTTCAAGACCTGTGACTGACAAAAAAATAGTTTCAATTAGTGGTTACCTTATTTATTCGGTATTAATCATAAATCAACAATGCACACCAAGTAAAGTGGTAATAAAGTCTGTTTCCCTCAGGCACTCCTGCCAGGCAAGTATTAATCTGTTGAGCCAATCTTTACAGTATAGTTGTGCTCTTAAGGATTAATGGCTTCTACATTTCTGATTTTAGAAAATCTCAAGAACAGCTCTAAGCTACAAAAACTTACAAGTTAGCCAAGCTCTGACAGCTCACACACACATGAAATCCTAGCTACTCAGGAGGCTGAGACTTGGAGGATCAAAGTTCAAAGCCAAACCCCTCCCCCCCTCCAAAAAAAAAACCCACAAAAAAAATGGTGAGACTCCATCTTCGATTAACCAGCAAAATGCTGAACTGGGGATTTAGTTCAAGTGGTAAGAGTGCCATCCATGAGCAAGAAAGCTGAGTGAGAAGATGAGGTCCTCTGTCCCAAACCCCAGTGCCACCAAAACAAAAATAAAAACTAAACTTTACTTCTGGGCAATGCATTACATGTATCCCTAATAATGTATAATTTCTTGTTTTTGTAGAAATCTGGTGATATTAGGGGGAAAATATCCTTTTCAGATGTATGCTGTTGTATACTGAATACCTTTAGTATATCTCCCAGCCTGCAATTACACAGTAGTTAACAACTGAGATATCAAGGTGCTTAACTTCAACTTCTACATAACATTACCTGGGAAACTAGTCTTCATTATATCAATCCCAACTTGAAGCTCAGGTTCAGCAGCAAGCACAGCATAGTCCCCTTGATGAGAGATGTTAAAGTTGAAATTGGGGTAAGGATTTAACGAGTCCTTTGCAAGAACTGGTTTTCCCTTCGCTGTTCTTTGCAAACGAATATGATTCCAAGGAATATGCAATTTCTCTGCAATTAATTTCCTTATCATCAGACGACCAGCCTGTTAAGTATATAAAACATTAATTATATATGGACATTACTAAACATCATTATACATTAAGGATATTTTTACACTTTGCAAAGTTTTGAAAGTACATATATATTACATACATATCACATTTCTTAGTAATTACCTATCTATGTGCTTTAAGTATTGAGGATTATTTCATGTTTTTATGTATCGATTTGGACTGTTAATTAGAGCAAAACATTTAGTAGTATTGGGGTACAGTATATAAACTAACTTCTAACATTGACTATTTCTCAGGTTCTAGATTTTCTATTAAAAAATGTTGCAAGAAGGCCTATTATACCTACATCCACACACATACAAGTTTTTGACAGCCTCTATCACTTAGCTGCAAAAAATTAGAAAGGCATAACCCATTTTGTTCCATTCACTCACACCTCCATTAAGAAATCACTAAAAATGCACAAAAATTCTCTCAAGGATATGAAATGACAACGCATATCATTGTTTTGAAAATATCCTCCCAGGGGCTGGGAAGGTGGCTCAGTGGTAGAGCGCTTGCCTTGCAAGCATGAGGCCCTGGGTTCGATTCTAGAGCGCTTGCCTTGCAAGCATGAGGCCCTGGGTTCGATTCCTCAGCACCACATAAGCAAAAAGAAAAAAGCCAGAAGTGGTGCTGTGGCTCAAGTGGTAGAGTGCTAGCCTTGAGCTGAAGAGCTGAGGGACAGCACACAAGCCCAGAGTTCAGGCCCCACAACCGGACCCCCCCCCCCCAAAAAAAGAAAATATCCTTCCAGATTTTTAGCCTTCAACTAAAACAGTAACTTTAAAAAGATTTACCAATTCACTTTTTTTCCCATTCCTTATAAACCATAAGGAGTGTCATAAACATTCACCCAATATGCCTTCAAAAAACATCAACAATGCCATGTGTCAATGGATCACGCCTGTAATCTCTGCTACTCAGGAGGCTGAGATCTGAGGATCCAAGCCAGCCTCTGAGTCTAGGAGACTCTTACCCCTAATTAATCACTGAAAAAGCAGAAGTGGCCCCGTGGCTCAAGTGGTAGAGTTATCCTTGGGCAAAAGAAGCTCAGGGACAGCGCCCAAAGCCCAGAGTTCAAGCCCCAGCACAGGGGGAGAAGAAAAAAAGTGTGTGTGTAAAGTCTAGTATATATTTGATTTAAAGGTACCAATAATTTCAAGAAAAACACATCTTGGAAGTGACACTGATCAGCGATTATTTCAAGCTACACAATTAAGATGCTTATTTTGAAATGCAATTTCCAGGTGTTGCTCGAAAACATATTAAAATACACACTTTTTTTAAAATAGCATTTCCCAAGCTATCTAGCCAGGAAATTCACAACCTGGGCTTTAATTTGTTAACAGGCTGGCCTAGGCCTCTCTCAGTCTCACCATGCACAGAACTGGGAGCAGTTAAGTCACACTGTCAGTGTTTCCCAGGGTTTCACATGTACATTAGCGGTTCGGAGAGTGCTGGGATTAATTTGGTAACATTAAAAAATAAAATAAAATCAAAGTGCCTGACTCAGGCCTGTAATCCTCGCTACCCAGGAGGCTGAGAGCTGAGGACTGCAGTTCCAAGCCAGCCCTCGCCCGGGCAGGAAAGTCTGTAAAACTCAACTCCAATTATTTTTCTCAAAGAAGTCAGAAGTGGAGTCGTGGTTCAAGTGGTAGAGCGCCAGCTCTGAGCAAAAACCAGCTCGGGGACAGAGCCCAGGCCCTGAGTTCAAGCCCTAACTAAATGATCATGAAAGTATTCTCCGCGGGGGAAAACACTGTCACTCGGTAGGCCTTCGGGGCCCCGCTCCGCGCTTCGCAGGGTCTCGCGGGGGTGCGCAGGGCCGGGCCCGGCGGCTGACAGCGCGGGGAGCAGGCCGCACGCCCGGGCCCCGCAGGCCGGCCGGTCCCGCCCCGGCCCCCCACAGGCGGTAGGAGACTGGGGACCCACGGCCGGGACGGAAGGTGCGTCTCCGCACAGCCCAGCCCGCCGCCCCCGACAGCGACGTCCTCGGTGCTAGATACCAAAGCCCTGGAGTACCATGGCTGCCTTGGCGTCCCGGGCGAAGACGAACTGGCCAATGCGCTCCTTCTCCTCGGGCTGGATAGATCGCACCGCCAGCAGCCATTCGGCTCGGCTCGGTAGCCAAGTGCCACAGGAGAAGGCCCAGCGCACGCCCTCCATGGATGGCACCAAGCACAACCGCTTGGCTGGGAAAACCATATACAACACGGACCGGGCCGCCACCTGAGGACTGATGGCGCGGATGCTACGCGGCCCCGCCCCTTCTCCCCTCCGAGGCGGCTGTGCGTGGAAGGCGGGACATCCTTGACGTCATCAGTCCCCACCCTTTTTCCCAGGAAACTGCGAATAGGAGTGCGACGTCGCGCTACGTCAAGAGGCACGTGGTCCATCCGGAGCTCACGCTGCCCCGCCCCAAACTCGGCGGTCTCCGTTTGGGGAAAGCGGCGACGGAGATTCAGGCGAGCTGCGGCACCGCGTGACGTCGCGTAGGGGCGTGGCCCGGGAGGACAGGGCGGGACTAAACTCGAGCGGAGCAGATTTACGCCACTCACACTGGGCGCAGAGCTAACGGGGCAGCGGTGTTAGCCAATAGCAAGCCAGCGCTCGAGAGGCCGGGAGACTGGGGTGGAGCCTTGGGAGACTGCGGAGGCAGGTGCGTGAGCCTGGGGGTCTAAGGGAGGAGTGGGCTGGGGCCGGTTCCTAAGTCCCACGGGGAAGATTTCTCATTGCTCCTTGGGGTTGTGGGTCAGGAGAGAGGTGTCTGCGGCCGGGCCGGGGTGGCGGGGGCAGGGAGGATGCTGATCGTTCCCGTGGAGTCGTGCAGCGCGACGGCCCCCCGAGTTGCAGCGTCACCCAGGACACCCTTCACCCCAGCACCCGTCCACCCCGAGCCCCCCCAGGCCTGCCGGGGCCGGCGTCCTCCTCCCCACCCGCAGCCCCAAAACAAGCCCTTGGGGACCACGTCGTGCTTTGGCTCCCGGCCTCGCGGTCCTATGGGTGCGGGTCGCGGTCTCCATAGCAGACACACCTGTAGTCCCCGTTGGTGACTCAGGGCCCTGCTGGATCAGAGTCGTGCGGGGTTCGATTCCCGGGTGGGAAAGTTATCAGCAGACGAAGGTAAATACGTAGATTAAATGAGATACTGTGGGATTCAGTCCTGCCACCAGGTTAGGTCAGCAAGTAGTACTAATTCGTATAATTACTTGCCTTCTGTCTTCCGTTACTCGCATTTTATTCTGGTCTTCTGGACTGTTTTGTGGTATCATCAGCCCCCACGAAGCCTTTGTGAATAGATGGGGTATTGAAGGCACACATCCTCGCAGGATGTGAATAAAGTCCTCGGAAAGAAAACAACGCCAGTTGAACTGTGGCACACCTTTCTGTCACTTGGAATTCTCCAAGTGTATATGTACGCATGCATAGATGTACATTTACATTTAGAATGCATGTGTGTGCACATGAGCATGCATACCCATACATGTACATACGTGTGTGTACATATATGTGTATAGAGCGAGGGATATACACACACACATATATATATATAGAAATATACATCCATAGAAACACCCCTGAAATTAATAGCAGACTCTTGAAAAAGTTGCATTAAGTAAGATGCAACCATTATGTCCTTATAGCTCCTTCCCACACTTCACCCTCCTCCAGCCCAGGTAACCAATCTCCATGTCTATGGTTTTGTATATCATCTATTTTGTGACCACTTCAGATTGGCTTTTTTGTCAGTCTTCATATTAAGTTGTTAATGTGTATCAGTCGTTGTTTTCAATGTGTGCATTGTGAGAATGTGGTTGAATGGTTTATTCATAAACATATTTGACACAGTTGTGGTTGTTGCAGGTTTTTGTTGTTTTTTTTTTCCAGTCATGGGGCTTGAACTCAGGACCTGGCCCTGAGCTTTTCTGCTTAAGACTCTTGCTCTACTACTTTGAGCTGCAGCACCACTTTCAGTCCTCTGGTGGTTAATTGGAAATAAGAGTCTCACAGACTTTCCTGCCTTCACAGACTTTCTCAGCTTCCTGAGTACCTCCTCCTGTAGCTCCTCCCTTACAGGCAAGAGCCACCAGCACCTGACAGTTGTTGCAGTTTTTGACTGTACAAATGAACCTGTTATGAAGCAACACGAACAACTTTTTATGCACATAGAAGTTTTTATTTCTCTGGGATAAGTGCTCACAAGTATAACTAATGAATAATATGATAAATATATGCTTAGTTGTTTGGGTTTTTTTTTAAGAAAGTATTCCCACCAACTATATGTCGATGATCCAGTGTCACAACACCCCCTCAACCAGTTGAAATGATCAATATTGTCCTATCTTTATGATAGAGAAATCTTTGACATCTTTATATTCTCTTTGGAAATAACCTTCAGGCCCTTTGCCCATTTTTAAATTTGATAGTTTGCCTTTTTCCTCACGAGTTTTCGGGGTTGTTTTTAAGGATTCTACTGATTAGATTTGATGTGCAGATACTTTCTCCCAGCTTATGTCTTGCTTATCTCTGTCCTCTTAACAGGAAAAATTTAATTTTGATGAAATACAGTCTATTGATTGTTTTTCTTTGGTTTATTAGGCTTTAGATGTCATGTCTAAGAACCCATTGACTAACTCATAGTCACACACACACAAAAAAAACTAATTTCCCGCTCACAAAAATACTTGTTGAGAGTTATTATCCATTATGAATTAAATTTTACATATTATAGTTTAGGTTAAGGGATATTTTCCCCTCATGTGGATCTATGTTTGTTTCAGCATTGGGGAAAAGACTTGTTTTGTTTGTTTGTTTGGTTGGTTGGTTTTTGTCTTTCTTCCGTTGTATTGCTTGTACCTTTGTAAAAACGTGACTTGGCTGTATTTGTGTAGGGTTATTTTTCAATTTGTATTTTCTTCTACTGATCTATGTATCCCTTTGTGCCAACATCACACGATCTTGGCTACTGGATTTATAATAGGTCTTAAAATAACATAGTTTACTATCACATTGTTACTCTTTTTAAAATTTATATTAGATATTTTAATTTATTCCAATCAATTTTACACTTACCTCAATAATATTTACAGAAACATCTTTCTGGAATTTTGACCTGTCAGACTTAACTGTGTTAAGTCTGTATGTCCATTTGAGGAGAGATTGGCTCACCTTTCTGTTTTGACTTTTCCAGTTCTCAGAGGTGGCATTTCTGTCCACCGATTTAGGTACTTATGGGTTTCTTTTGTTAAAGAACTGGTAGTTTTCAGCATACAAACCCTGTATCTGTTTTCTTCAATTCAGAGCTCAGTATTTTTCCCTTCTTTTCTAAGCGATTACATTTTACATTTTGGTTTCCCTGCAGTTCTTATTATTACATAGAAATATAATTGATTTTGCGTCTCAATCTGCAGTGTCTCTAATCTCTAGCTTTGTTTTTATTTTGTAGAATTCTCAGGATTTACTATGTGGATTATCTTATCATCTGTAAGTAGATAGTTCTTTGCCCCTCTTTTCAATGTACATGGCTTTTTAAAATTTTTCTTCAGTATGCTGGCCAGAGCCTCCAGTACTTTGCTGAATAGCAGTGGGAAGGGCAGGCATGCTGTCTTCCTCTTAAGGAGGAAGATATTCGAGCTTTTATCATTTAGTATGTTGTTTGTCTTAGGTTTTTGTGTGGATAGATAGTCTCTATCCTCCCTCCTTCCCTCCCTTCCCCCTTGCACTCCCTCTTCCTTCCTTCCTCTCCCTCTCTCTTCCTCCCTCCCTTCCTCTTAATTCCCTCTCTCCCTTTCTCTCTCCCTCCCCCTCCCTCTCTTCCTCCCTCCCTCCCCCCTCTTTCTTCCTTCCTCCCCTCTCTCCCTCTCCCCCTTCCTCTCTCTCTCCCTCTCCCCCTTCCTTTCTCTCTCCCTCTCCTTCCTCCTCTCTCCCTCTCCCCCCTCCTCCCTCCTTCTCCCTGCTCCTCTCTCCCTCTACCTCCCCCCTCCCTGTCTATCCCTGTCCCTCTCTCCCTGTCTCTCCCCACCCCCACCCCCAGTCCTAGAGCTTGAACACAGGCCCTGGGCATTGTTTCTAAGCCTCTTTGTACTCAAGACCACTTGCCACAGCACCACTTCCAGCTTTTTCTGTGTAGTTTATAAAATACTGAAATAAGGTTACAGGATGACCCATTATAACAACAAGATGTACAAGACACTATGTTGAAAATGAACTTTACAACTTCAGGGGTGGGGGGGGTGGGGAGGGAGAAGTTGGGGAGGTAGGGAGGGAAGGGATGATAGGGGAAAAACAAAGGAGAAGGTAACAATGCCTGATAGGAAATGTACTCTACCTAACTCACATAACTGTAACACCTCTGTACAGTACTTTTACAATAAAAAAATATATGCAAAAAAAAGTTTCTCAGACTTTTCTGCCCAGGCTGGCTTCAAATGATGATCCTCAGATCTCAGCCTTCTGAGTAGCTAGGATTACAGGTGTGAGCCACCAGCACCTGGCTCTATTCTCTATTAAGTTGGAAGTGAGAAATTTCTCCTCTGGTCCTCATTTGCTAGGAATTTTTTGAAGATCACTATTGTATTTTGTCAAATGCTTTTTTGTATGAATTGATCATTGTTATGTAATTTTTCTTCCTTAGCTTGGTATATGATACATTGCATTCATCTTTCAAATATTGAATCAATCTTATATGCTTGTATGAACCTACTTGGTCATAGTTTAGATTCACATTAAATTCTTTTTGTTAATATTTAGCTAAGAAGTTTCATATCTACATTTGTAAGGAATATGGGTCTGTAGTAATAGGGATTTGTGTGTTTGTTTGTTTGGAGTACTCTGTCTACATAATCTTATTGTCTACTACAATAAGATTGGCTTCATAAAATTATTAGGTTTTCTTCTGTTTTCTAAAGGAACTTTTAACTTTGGATAAATGTAAGTTCCTTAATGATTACATGGCTGTTCAAATTATATTTCACATTGGATGAGTTGTGATCTTGTAAGCACACAGTGCTGTAAATTTTCCCCTCAGTATTATTTGAGCTGCATTCCATCTGATACATTGTATTTATAGCTTAATGTATTTTTAGGTACCTTTGAAATTGACCTATGTAGGATTTAGAAGTTTCCAAATACATGGATATTTTTATTTATGTGTGATTAATATCTAGTTGGGTCCATTGTGGGCAGAAAACATTGTATTTGTGGTTTCAGTTCTTTAAAATCATTTGAAATTTGTTTTATGAAGCAGGATATGGTCAAATTAGGTTTATGTTCCTTAGGCACTTAAAAATATAGATTATGTGGTTTATAGGTCAATTTTTCTTTTTGTTGTTGATTAGATTCTGTTGGCTAATGGTATTGTTAACTTCCTTCATATCCTTGATATTTTATGTTCTAGTTGCATTAATTTTTGAGAAGGGGGATATTTTGAAATCTGATTTTCTCTTTAGTTGTATCAGTTTTTACTTAATATATTTTACAAATCAACTATTTTATGCATTTAAATTTAAGAGTTTCTAGTATTCTTGATGGATTGATGTTGTATAATATTCCTTTCTATTCTATTCTTGCTAAAGTCTATTTTATACTGTATTGACATTGCCATGCTTGTACAGCATACCTTTTTTATCCATTTACTTCAACTTATTTTTGCTTTTTAAGTGAGTTACTTATTGGAAGCATGAAAATGAATCACTCATCCATTCCAGTAATATCTGTCTTCTAATTGCTGTACATAGACCATTCATACTTTAGTGTTCTCAGCAGAAAAAATAGGGAAGGATGAGGCCTTTAAAAAAATAAGGATTAAATATCATGGAACAAATACTCAGAAAATGTTAGGTATTTTTATAACATTCATCTTTGTTACCAGGAATGCTCTTTAGCTGGACCTGCTGCATATCTATAACCCCCCTCAAGAGACAGAGGCAGGAAGATCGAGTGTTCAAGCCAGCCTGGGCTACATAATAAGACTCAGCCTTTAAAAAAAGGGGGGGGGCCTGGGAAGGTGGCTCAGTGGTAGAGCGCTTACCTTGCATGCCTGAGGCCCTGGGTTCGATTCCTCAGCACCACATAAGCAAAAAGAAAAAAGCCGGAAGTGGCGCTGTGGCTCAAGTGGTAGAGCGTTAGCCTTGAGCTGAAGAGCTGAGGGACAGCGCCCAGGCCCAGAGTTCAGGCCCCACGACCAGACCCTCCCCCCCCCCAAAAAAAGAAAAAGCTCATAGAACTCATAAACTTTATAGACCATGATAAAGACAATTTGCCCCATGGAGGTTAGAATGTTAGAATGTTTGTGACTTTAACTAAGTATTACTATCCCACAATACTATGAAATTTGTGACATGAATGTAATCACTTAATCACAATTAAAAAAGTTTGCAAACAAAAAAGAAGAAAACTTAAAATGTCAGGGTACCTTTTAAGGAGTGCATTTATGATGGGATGTTGTGAATGTTAAAGTTGCTATATATACTTTCAGTGATTATTAAACTTGAAGGTCATAGTAGTATTGCAGAGAATATGGATTATGAGTGAAACAAGCAGTGTTCTTAGGCCTGTTGCTCTCCACCTCCTCCTCCAAAATCATCAAGCATTTTTTCCATGTGTCGCCTACTCTTTAGATGAAATGTCAAAACAAACATATTGGACATTTAACCCAGTAATAATAATAATAATAATAGTGACACTCGTACAGTGACAGCTTAGACAAGCACACCCTTCTACAACATCTCCATTTTTGTATTTAACCCAGTTATTTTCTTGTTGTGCTGGGGATTGAACCCAGATCCTTTGTGCATGGTAGACAAGCACTGTACAACTCAGCTACATTCCTAATCCTATACATAATTGTATAGTCATAAATATTAGATGTTAATAAGGTGCTTCTTAATTTCAAGGAGCTCAACATTTGTGAAGATTAAAAACAACATTTTCAGACTGGGCACTGGTGGCTCACGCCTGTAATCCTAGATACTCAGGAGGCTGAGATCTGAGGATCACGGTTCAAAGCCAGCCCAGGCAGGAAAGTCTTGAGACTCTTATCTCCAATAAACCACCAGAAAACCAGAAGTGGTGCTGTGGCTCAATCGGTAGAGTGCTCCCTTTGAGCTAAAGAGCACAGGGACAGTGCCCAAGCCCAGAGTTCAAGCCTCATGGCCAACCAAAAAAAATTTTTTTTCATTCAATGCCAAGAAATGCCAAGGTTTACTGTCATATGATTGTTCTTAGTGAACGTTGTGAACATTGTTGTATAAGGAGGAAAATGTTGAAGTCTGAAATGTTCATTGTTTTTTTTTTTTTTCAATTGTTTTTCATTCTAGTTCTAAAAACGGGTGGAATTGGCTATGGATAATTCATATGATTTCAGTGAACGAAGTTCATGTAATGGAATTTCATCTGAGAGGAAAAATAACTTCCTTGTGTCAGAAGATCATGGGCAGAAAATCCTAAGTGTTCTGCAGAATTTTAGAGAACAAAATGTCTTTTATGATTTCAAAATAATTGTGAAGGATGAGATCATCCCCTGTCATCGGTGTGTGCTAGCAGCATGCAGTGACTTTTTCAGGTATCTTGCCTTATCTATGCTTCAGATTTTTTTGTGATATCAGAACATGTAACCGTAATATTTAATTCTGAAAGAAAACCTCATTCGAATTAGGTGAACTAATGGTTTTTTGGGTAGGAGAACTTAAGGCTGCCTTTTCAAAAGCATGAGTCTTCCCAGTTCAGAATTTCCCAACATTCTATGCAATGTAATCCTTTGAAATGTTCTGAGGAGAAGTTTTTGTGTTTTGTTTGTTTGTTTATGCCAGTCTTGAGGCTTGAACTCAGGTCCTGGGCACTGTCTTTGACCTTTTCTGTTCAAGGCTAGCACTCTACCACTTGAACCACAGCTCCTCTTCTGCCTTTTTTTTTTTTTTGGAGGGTAGTTAATTGGAGATGGGAGTCTCAGGAACTTTTCTGCTAGGAATGGTTTTGAACTGTAATCCTCAGATCTCAGCCTTCTGAACACGTGGGATTACAGGTGTGAGCCACTAGTGCCCAGCTTGTTCTTGCTTTGTTTGATTTCATCTGGGGTCTTCTTTGTTTGGGAGTTCCCTGTAGATGCATCATTTTAGAAAAAGATGAAACAACCAGATAAAAATGGAAAGCAGAGTTCAAAGAAAATGAGTCAGAGACAAAAGTAAATTTCAGTTGAATACTGTGTCCATGAATTATCCAGTGGGAAGAACTGTGACTCAGAAGATGTAGAAGCAAAGGTATTCCTATCGTAGGATGTATCTCTGGGGTGTCCACATCCCAGTTGTTCTGGTTCTGAGCAATAACTTCTAAACGAAGCTTCCTTTCCAACATAGCCCACTGAGGATGTCCTGATCATGATTCTGTAGAATCCCCTATGCTGACAGTGGCTGTAACTCCACACAATTAAGGGTCAGCCATCTTGCCACACTCATTGTTGCAAGGTAATACCAGCCTGTGTGGCCTCTTGGTCCTTACAGACACATTTCTTTGTTTAATTCCTGGCCTTGAGTTCTCCTAGTCACACTGTAATTTCAGTAGTTTATATTATGTTCAGTTTTGGAAGCAAGGTAAGTAGAGTTTAAATCTCCCACAAACGTGAGAAAAGCAGAGTTCTGTTTGAAATAGAGGAATAAGATGGCACTTATATCACTTTTTATCCTTAATTTAGCTTGTTTTTTCTATGAACATTGAATTATGCTTAGCCATTATTGCCTTTAGAATAAATTTTATGAGGTGAATTTTAGTTAGAAAATGATTTTTACGTGTACTGCTTGCTAATCACTCTAAGATATTTTGCTTTGAGTTTGGGAGCAGTGACTCAGTGCTACGTAGTCCACTGGGTACAGGGATGCTGGGACAGCATTACATTAACCGTGTGTGTGTTAAAGCTGTAAGTCATCTAGTCTTTTCATTTCTTCTCTCCAATAGTATATTGGTCTTTGAATTCCCTTGAGGACCTAAGCATTATACTTTGCCACTCCCCAGGGCCACCCAGGCCTTCCCTCCTCTCTTCCAATCCATGTAATTTTGGCCTCATATTTGGAAGTATTGAATAGCCTAGTAACAATTATTCAAATTTTGGGACCTATCTCCATCTCTCAGCTGCTGTTACCACAGACGCTATTTTTTTTTGGTCTTTTTTGGCTTGGTGTGGTTAACTGGTATTGTTTCATTCAATGAAATCACATCCCTTTCTTCCTAATATATGATACAAAAATGTGTCTCATTAGGTGGTCTTTTTTTCTGTACAGAGACAAATTCATTGGAGACATTTGGGCTATCTTTTATGTTTCATTACTGTCCAATCAAAAATTAATTTGAAAGAAAATGTTAAGGCCTAAGCCCCCTCAGCATTATATTGCAAGGAATTTTAGCTTTCTATTAACACAGTTGATATTAATTTACTCATAAAGAGATTCAGCCATTAGAGAACTTTTGCCCTAATTCTGTGAATTACATAGGAACTAATCCGTATACAAAATTTGAAGTCTTTTATAATCTTTTTTTGGATTAGCTATTTTATCTCAGTTATATTGAATGAATTTTCATATGAGTTATAAATTATATTTCTTAGATATATGGCATATATAATCTAGATATTGAAATAATTTATTAGTATACCATTGAAATATGATTTTGTAAATATATTTTAAATCAACCAGAGCATAAGGATGTTTCTTTAAGGTGATTTTGACAGTAATCATGGAAGAAAATAATGCTGTCTAAGCCAGGCACCCGTGGCTCACGCTTGTAATCCTAGCTATTCAGAGTTTGAGATCTGAGGATCGCAGTTGAAGGCCAACCCAGGCAGAAAAGTCTTCATGAGACTCTTATCTCCATTTTATTATTTAATAACCAGACGTAGTGCTCTGGCTCAAAGTAGTAGGGTGCTAGCCTTGAGCAAAAGAGCTCAGGGAATGTTCGCAGGCCCTGAGTTCAAGCACCACAAACATAAAAAAAAAAAAAAAAAAAAAAAATTACTGTTTACTTGTTCTTTTGTGTTCCTTGTTATTTTGTCTTTTGCAGGGCTATGTTTGAAGTAAATATGAAAGAAAGAGATGACGGAAGTGTTACAATTACTAATTTATCCTCCAAAGCAGTAAAAGCATTTCTTGATTATGCCTATACTGGAAAAACAAAAATCACAGATGATAATGTGGAAATGTTCTTCCAGTTGTCATCATTTCTTCAAGTTACCTTCCTCTCCAAAGCTTGCAGTGACTTTTTAATAAAAAGCATTAATCTCGTCAATTGTTTACATTTATTATCTCTATCAGATAGCTATGGCTCTGCCCGTTTGTTTGACCATGCTTTATACTTTGTACAGCACCATTTTTCCTTGTTATTTAAGTCGAGTGATTTCTTAGAGATGAGTTTTGGAGTCCTGCAGAAATGTCTGGAATCAGACGAATTAAATGTTCCCGAGGAAGAAACAGTACTGAAGTTCGTCCTTAGTTGGATTAAACATAACTTAGAATCAAGGCAAAAGCATCTGCCCCATTTGATTCAAAAAGTAAGACTGCATCATTTATCTGAGGATACGCTTCAAGACTATCTGCTCAATGAAGAATGTTTACTTAAAAGCACTAACTGTTTTGACATAATGGTAGATGCCATTAAGTGTGTGCAAGTTTCTAGTGGCCTCTTCCCTGATGCTCGGCCATCCACAACTGAGAAATATATATTCATCCACAAGACTGAGGAAAATGGAGAAAACCAATATACATTCTGCTATAATATTAAAACGGACTCATGGAAAATCCTACCCCAATCACATCTGATTGATTTGCCGGGGTCTAGTCTATCTAGTTATGGAGAGAAAATCTTTCTGACTGGTGGCTGCAAAGGGAAGTGCTGTAGAAAGGTCCGCCTTCATATTGCTGAGACTTACCATGATGCCACTGATCAGACCTGGTGCTACTGTCCAGTCAAAAATGACTTCTTCTTGGTATCAACTATGAAAACACCAAGAACCATGCATACTTCAGTTATGGCACTCAATAGGTTATTTGTCATTGGTGGAAAGACTAGAGGATCTCAGGATATTAAAAGTCTCCTTGATGTTGAATCTTACAACCCCCTCTCCAAAGAATGGACATCTGTGAGCCCATTACCCAGAGGCATATACTACCCTGAAGCAAGTGCATGCCAAAATGTAATTTACGTTCTTGGATCAGAGGTAGAGATTGCGGATGCATTCAACCCATCACTTGATTGCTTTTTTAAATACAATGCCACAACCGATCAGTGGTCTGAACTAGTGGCAGAGTTTGGGCAGTTTTTTCATGCTACTCTCATTAAAGCTGTCCCTGTGAACTGCACGCTATATATATGTGACCTTTCCACATATAAAGTTTACAGTTTCTGTCCTGATACTTGTGTTTGGAAGGGTGAAGGGTCTTTTGAATGTGCAGGATTTAATGCAGGTGCAATTGGAATCGAAGATAAGATTTATATTCTAGGTGGGGATTACGCACCAGATGAAATCACAGATGAAGTCCAGGTCTACCACAGCAGCAGATCTGAGTGGGAAGAAGTTTCACCAATGCCCAGGGCCTTAACTGAATTTTACTGCCAGGTGATTCAGTTCAATAAATACAGGGACCCGTGGTTTTCCAATCATTTCTAAAGGTAGTATGTGCTTACATATTCTAAATCTGTTCCAGTTCTAGTAACCTACAGGTAAATTTATTTATTGTAAGGATTGGCTAAAAGGTCTTTACATCTTAATATTCCTCCTCTAAGAGAATTACCATGTATGTATGCTGTCTATGAAGAAAGAGTTCCCAGATATTTTAAGTGAAAAAGACATTGTATCAAAAATTAGGCTGAATTATGATTTAATCTCAAAGATTCCAGAACACTTAGCATTCTTAAATGTAAGTAAAAGTTATAGGCTTTGATGCTTTGTTTTTTATAAAGTATTTTAACCATGAAAAGTAGTAAGAAAAAAAAAACAAGAGTTTATAGGTCTGTGCAATTTAGGTGGAGGAAGCCCCTTGTAATAGTAAAAAGGTAATTGTGAAAGTAAAAGGTAAAAGTCTATTATGATGTTAGAGGCAATTTAGAAAATAAGAGCTGTTGAATTCATTTTTTCAGGTCCTTCTTTAATTTTTTGTCAGACTTTTTTTATTGAAACATATTTTCCTATCCTTCTAGTCAGTACAATTAATTTTTTGTGTAAAAGAGAGAAAGACAGAAAGAAAAAGAAAGAAAGAAAAAGAAAGGAAGAAAGAAAGAAAGAAAGAAAAGAAGGAAGAAAGAAAGAAAGGAAGAAAGAAAGAGAGAGACAGGCAGAAGGAAGTTCACCTCTTCTTTAATAGAATATTGTACCAGTGCTGGAGTTGTGGCCTAACTGGTAAATCCCTTTTCTAGCACAAGTCCCTGGGTTAAACTTCAGTATTAGGGGGTGATGGATGGGGGAAAGAGAAGGAATTTGTACTAAGTTATAGCACATCATTGACAATTTCTTTATGTATTTTTAAATTGCTAATTTTATTAGCTTTCCATATCAGATGGTTACAATTTTAGCAGTCATATTTCTCTTATTCTCTGGTTCAGCATTCATGATTTAGGTAGTAGTTCTGAGTAGTCATTCTAAGTTCCATGAGGCCTGAGTTTATCATAACATATAACCCGTGAGTGATATTCTTAATATAATTGAGGATATGGAACTTTGGCCCATGTATTGCTTTATCATTATTCTATATATTTCCTTCCTTCTTTTTTGACAATGCTAGGATTTGAATTCAGGGCCTCCTATTTGTTACGCAAGCACTCTTTTTTGCTTTAGTTATTTTTTGAATAAGATGTTAGCATTTCTTGCCTCCAAGTAAGTCTCCATCTGATCCTGAAGATCAATCTGTACCTCCCAAGAAGCTGGAATTACAGGTGTGAGCCACTATGCCCAGCCTAACACTTTTTAATCTTTATATACATTTGAGCTAAAGTAAGAAAGTTCATGATTTAATTAATCATATCAATTTTCTTTGTTTTCTTTCTCTCTTTTTTTTTGTCGGTCATGGGGCTTGAACTCTGGGCTTGGGTGCTGTCTCTCAGCTCTTCAGCTCAAGCAAGCACTCTACCACTTGAGCCACAGCTCCACTTCTGGTTTTCTGATGGTTTATTGGAGATAAGAGTCTCATGGACTTTCCTGCCCACGCTAGCTTTGAACTATGATCCTCAGATCTCAGCCTCCTGAGTAGCTAGGATTACAGGTGTGAGCCACTGGCCCCCGGCTTCATTTCAGTTTTCTGTAATGACATACCTACATACTATAAAGCACCATATTGGTTTATGACCTCAGTAAATTACTTTCTAAATTAAAATGGCATGGCTTTTGGTATTGATAGTAGAACTTAAAACTTTCATCATGAACAAAAGAAGGATAATGATCCATCCTTCTTGTTCTCAGCCAGAAGAAGTTTTTTTTTTAATTTAGCTCAAGAAATGCAGATGTTTTAGGTTTTAAGACCCCTGATTTACATCTCTGGTAATACATGGGTTGTGTTTCTCTGATGCTTCACTCAGTGTTAATAAAGGTAAAAAAAAAAAAAAGTAAAGGTAAAAAAAAAAAATAGGTATTTACCGGAAAGAAATGCCTTTTTTTCTTACAATATAAATGCAAATGTTAAACTTCAAACATATTTTTCAAATCACAAATAGTAGAGTACATTTTCTCGCAGTTCCAAAATCAAGGGCAGTCTCAAATCAGATGAAAGTCACGTGAAAAGCATTCTGTAGAATTGGCTGCCCTTCCTGTCTAAGCATGTGTGTATTTAGGGAAGAGAATATGCGGTGTATGTGTGGCATCGGAGGCAAATTATATGGCAATGATTATAGCAGCGCATAACCTGTCTACTAGCTGTAGATTTATGGAACTGCTAAACATAGGTTGATAAAGTACACATAAATAGTATTGTCATTCTAGGAATTGTTCATCTCTTTCCAAAAGGGAAAAGTAAAGCAAAACTAAACCCCTTCTTATTCTTTTATGATACCATTTGCTGTCCACCATTTTCCTCATTGGCTATTGATTTATGATGTTTCTAGACATATCTATCAAGACCTATGTGACTCCTACAAATGATTTAATATTTTTTCAAATGTTGGTTTTCTGCCTTAGTTGATACAATAACTATGGATTGCTGGATAATCATTTTTTTATTTATTGCTATCTCTGTATCAGCATCTTTATGTTCTTCTCCATGATAAAATACTCTGTCAAAGTCATAGAATCCCAGACTCCTCCTTTATTTCTTTTCCTTTATCTTCTTTCACTTAAAGCAGTCAATGCTGGGTGTGGCTCTACTAACTGACCTCTCATTTAGCATGTCTTCCCAGCAATCTGTTGGCTTTATTGAAAAATGGTTCCAGTTTCGAATTAGCCTGGAACCCAATCACATCGTGTCTGATTACACTGGCTATATCCTTTGGCCTTGCCAGTCATTGGGGCCTCAGTCTTCACTTTGGATCTCTGACTTGCAAATCTTAAATCTTAATGATTCTTGTAGTCTTTTTTCCCCCTCCATCCATTCAGGATAGTAAGAGAAAGATTCCAAGTGTGAGCCACTGGACCAGGTTTGTTTTCCTTTCTCTATACACTTCAATCTATTTTCCGGCATAAGACACAGAATAATTGCTCAGTATCCAGACTGCTGTCATTCCTGTGGAAAGATTCTATTTAACATTCTTAGTTCTTCCTCATTGTCTTGCTTTACCATAGTTAGACTATGCATGCAAAAACTTTGAAGGTTGTCATATCTTCTAACTTGAAAGTAGGTAAGTGCCACTATTACATATGAAAGCATATTAACATAGGAGAACAAGTCGAAGTTAGTAGACATCCCTGGAGCAATCTTCAGACTTGAGTAAAATGTATATTTTGTTCATCTACAGACTTTTGAGACTAAGTAATATATAGAATATTTGAGTAAAAATTCCCATTCTCCTCAACTCTGCTATTGGGAAAGAAAAAGGTCTTTATTGCAGCAGTGTTCATAACTAGCTGTAACGAATTTATTTGGAACTTGCTTGGGAACAACCACATAGCTGCAGTATGATGCCAATCTCCCAGTTACTATGAGGAGCGATTGAACAGTGCATTTGGAATTCTTGGCTCAAACTGTATCCTTTGAAAACTAGGATCTACCACAGAGGAATGTCTCTGGTATTAGGAAGCAATAAATGTTGTAGTGATTAAACTATGAAGTTAAATATGTAATGTTACTTTTAGATCACTATTCACAGTTTAATTGGACCCAGTGTCCTGGTAGTGTTTCCCCTCTATATTTGGAATTAAAGGGTAAAATTGCAAATTTCCTTCCAGGGGACAGCTCTGGAGCATACCTATAACAAGATGTAAGAAATACTTTTACTCCACTTTATATGTCCCTAGATGACTATAAGACTTAATAAGACTCTTTGTCAAAGACTCCATCCAGCATGTGACAAGTTATTAGCTCAATAATTTTCCTACACAGGAATGCATGACCAAAGATTTGTGCCTACTATTTACACATACTGGGCTTGATCATTTTCTTACATAAAGCTAATTGCTTCCTCCTCCAGCTTAGTCAGCACTCTAGGTTTCAGTAGTTCTAACTATTCAAAATTCTTCAAGGACTTGGGTCTTAAAGCTGTGTCTGTTGAGCCTTTTTTTTTGAAGGGAATATTGTGTTTATTTTTAATCATTCAGAAAAAGTCCATCAAAGGTGCTGACAGTCATAGTGAGCTACTAACTAGGATCTTTCCATCTATTTAATATAGGTATATGTTATTTGCTTTATAATGCATGTAAAATTAAAGACCAGTAACAATTTTTCTCTGAATTATTATTTTCTTTAAAGCTGTATTATTGTAACCAAAGGCATTGATTTTAGTTAAATACTTCATTTGAAATGCTATCTTTATCTCTTAAATTTTTATCTGGGCATTGGTGTCTTCACAGGAGCCTAAGATCTGAAGATGATGGTTCAAAGGCAGCCTGGGCAGGAAAGTCATGTGACTCTTGTCTCTAAATAGCTACCAAAAATCTAGAAGTGGAACTGTGACTCAAGTAGATTAGCCTTGAGTGAAAAAGCTAGGGATCATTACCCAGGCCCTTAGTTCAAGCCCACTTATACGTACCATTTTTTAAAAATTTAATGTTATATTCAATGACTCTAATTATTAGTCAACTTTACTATCGAAACCGAGAGTTTAATCGCAGAATGATACTATTACACATTTATCAAAGCTAACTCCTGTCATGGATTCATATTCGAATTTGAAAAGAACCTTGAGATCTAATGTAGTTTCCTAAATTCTAAATTCCAGCACACTGTAGACTCATTATTATTTTCTTCAGCATCTAATTCAGTACTTTCAGGTGCTAAAACAGCTACCTTAACCAGTTTTTCCTAATAGTAAAAATAATTGCCGTGCTGTATTATTGACTTCTAGCCATTGGCCCTGCATTGCTCTTCCTGCATGCCAGCCATGCAGCCATTTGAATGAGTACCATGACTCTCAGCCCTAGCAAACAAGGCCTTCTTCTCTTTCTTGGTTAGGGGCTCAGAGCTCCTAGCCTCACCCACTGTGGCTGGGTTACATGGCTTCTCTTTGTGGAGTTGCTGCAGAGCACCTATCCTAGGTTGAATGGTAGTTTTGATGGATTGAGCCTGCCCAGCAGGGCCGATTCTGTTGCTATCTAAATTTTTCCTCTCACTGTCCATTCTCAGTGTACTTGAAATTTTAGAGCTCTCATTCAGTCATAGCTCTCTAGTTCTCATTTTCTCACCTACTTTACTAGCTCTCCAGCTCACTTAAGTCTAGAGCCTTCCCATGTCTTCTCCTACCTGCCTTTTCCCAATCACCGAATGTTAATAGCAATCTTTTGTCATTGGATATAGTCTTCAGAATTTTAGAAGCACTTCTAAAAAAGACTTCAGAAGGTCAATTTTTTTTAAAGCAGGAAACAGTTATATCCTCATTGGTCGATGAGGATGACTTGCAATAACTATTTAAATTTGAAAACATTTAATATTTTTAATTTGATATTAAGTCAAGTTAGACGGAACATAGTATTTTTATAATTAAATAACTAGGGGCCAGGTAGCTTTATTCATCTCATTAACTTTGACAACATTTTCCCAAGCTTAAGGATGTAACTAGCTCAACAAGTTATT